CGACGATTAGACGAAATCAAGTTTTTAAACAACTCACCACTTGTTATATATGTTTGTGCAAAATAAAGACATCGAACCATGCTGATAATTTGATCATCAACCGGTTTAAATTCACGAAATTCAACTTGACGTTCAACAGGCACTCTCTAGATAGAAAATATAATAAAACAAAATATTGAATACATATCCGTATTAATAAAGAGTCAATTCTACCTCTTCTAGTGGTCCTGATGCTGCTATTGTTTCACTTCGTTTATTAACAGCTATCATGGTTTTTTTTAACGTTCGACCTTTTCGTAAACGACGAAATGATTCGCGTAAGGATTTTTTTAATGAACGGCCTCGATTCAACGATGTTTCACCAGATGCTTGGACGGCAGATGTAGAAGATAACGCTAAAAATTAAAGGGTTTTAAAATAATTTTATCGATTAATGGCATGCAAACACTTACATGCTGGATCTAGGGTACATTTCACCGTTAACATTCGATTTTGTTTATAATTAAATAGTGTAAAACCATGTGCAGTACCCACTGCATAACTAGAAATGAACAAAATTAGTCAAAGTTGAACTGTGAAATCTTGCGTACATACGTCTGAATATCTGAACATAATGCTAATGCTGATACAGATGCTGGTGGAAACAACTGAACAATTGATGATGCAACAAAACCAGCTGATACATGACATTGTTTTATCTTCATTTCTTCGTGTCCTTTCCATACATAACTTTCACATCCTTCATCTATTAAACTAATCCTTATTGGCTACAACGATAAATAATTTATACAACCAACTAGCAAACATACGACATCAACGTACGCTTATATTTGTATCAACAGATTCGTTTGAAAAATGGAATGTAAATATCTGTCCGGCTTGACCAGCTACTATTAAGGTGTCCGTATTTGTACATAATGATATTTTTTGAATAGCTAGACGTGGATCATCAGAAAATGGATCAAAAAATCCCGTCTAAATTAAAAAGAAAAAACAAAAACAATAAAAATGTTAAAATTTAAATAAAATTCTTGTTATCTACTTTTCGAAATGGTGGCCAATTCTCTTCTTCTCCATCATCATTCGATGGTTGATCAATTTGAAAGTATTCATTTGTTTTTAGTTTATATAATAATGGCATTGAAATATCAGTTACATCCCAAAACTGTATTGATCCATCTTCATGACTAAAATAAATAAAGAATTTAAAAATATGATTTAAATTATAGTTTAAAGGGAAAATTACAAATAAATACCCTGTCAATAATATTTGTCTTTTACTACAACCATCATCTAAACTATTTGTTAATGTGTTATTAAGATTAGAACTAGATGGACAATAATTTATTTCACCACCAGTTAATGGCCATTTCTACAAGCAATAACAAGGCAAAAAGTATATATATATAATACACTAGTATATACATAAAATATTCAACTTACTCTATCTGAATAATCATCAAATTGAATATTACCATAATTTGTTAATTTTTTATAAAATTGTTGATTAACATTATATAATAGAGTTGTACATATAACAGGACAAGCATGAATACTATTTAAATACGGCAAACGATAAGATGGCCAACTATCAGTAACTAAATCAACAAATACAATTTCTTCTTTTAATAAAATAATGAGTGATTGAGGATCGTCACGTGCTAGAAAGAAAAAAAGAATTTATATTTTAAATAGTAAAAAAGAAAAATATAATCATAACATACATCCATCTGATGATGGTTTATCAATTGTAAAAAAATCAATAACAGACGTTGTAAAATCAAATGCAACATGTCGTTGACGATCACTATGATCATGTTCATGTTCATTTTCACATACACAACTGACACTATGTTTTGTTGAATAACTCGAACGTTGTAAACCACCAGAAAAGATAATCAATGGATCACCGCTATAAAAAAAAAGAAAGAAAACGATAGATCATCATACAATCTATTAGAAAAATATCTAACAAATAATAAGCAAAACACTTACTTTCGCATTATTTTAACAAGAATCTTTTTCATAGTCATACATGGATAAGGACCTAGATAATAATTATTTTATTTAAAAATACATTATACAAATACGAGAGATAATTATATTTACCATATTGTTTTTTTTCATTTTCTAAGGCATTTATATCTTCATTAGCATTCCATAATGCATAACTTCCATCTGTATGACAAGATGCAAAATTTAATCCATTATTGTACCAACATAATGATTCAATTTCCTTAATAAATAATTTAATATTTAAATAAATTAAAAAACAAAACATGTTTTGTTTTTCTTCTTCTTGTATTTACCTGTTTGTAGACGTACATTCTATCATGACTATTTGACGGTAAATCCCATTGAACAATCAAACAATTTTTATAACCAATTAATATTTTTTCGTCATTTGTTGGATGTTGAACAATTGATTGAACTGATCCCGTATTACTAACACGTCCATGACAATTTTCTGGTATACTAAATATGATACAAAAAAAAGAAAATACGATTATAAAAATGGAAAAAAGAAAATTATATAAATTATTTTTACTTTTTCATTAATATTTCATTTGGTATAATTGGTTTAGTAGTAAGTGAAAAATTTTCAATATTAAACAATACAATATCACCATTTTCAAGTCCAATTAACAGACTTAAATGATTTTTTAATAAACATATGGACTGTGTTTGTTTTAAACATATTGAATCATCTTCATTAGATGTACATATACGATCTAAACGTACTGTTGTGATATTTCCTGTTACTGAATCGTGATTCGTTGTTTCATGCGAATGATAATTATTTATTTCTAATAAATGAATATAACCTTCGGTTGTTAATACAATAAGACGTCCACTACCATTTAAAAATAATAAATGATGAATATTACATGAACAAGAATTATTTACATCTAAACTAAAGGATAATTGAAATCCCGGTTGACCATAACTAAATGAAAAATATTAATTATATATAGAATTTTAAATATTTTACATAAAATATCATTATTTACATTCGAATTTCTCCAGTTTGTGTTCCTATGACAATTAATCGTAATTGATTATCATAAGCAATGGCTGATGGACGAGAAGGAAATCCACGATCACAAACCTAAGAAAAAAATAAATTATTATTCTGATATATATAGTAAAACCAAGATTATTATTTTGTGATTCTTTTTTTATTCTGTAACATTATATTTGTTTACAAGTACAAAATTTAATTTTTTCAACTAACTTTACTAAGTCCAAATAGTTCTTTTTGTAATCGACGTCTTGCTTCATTATCTTCGGGCTGTTTTCTACCAATTTTAAATTTAAACATTTTTTTATGATAGCTATTAATAAATTGTATATGACATATATGTTTTTGGTGAAATTGATAAATACAATATAAAATAACGTTTCTTTGTAGATAAAGAAAAATTCTATATATAGAATATCTAAAATGTAATGAAAACAAAAAGAACCATGATGCATTCAGTCGAAACAAATTTGACTAATAAAAGTAAAATTCTTACATGTCAGAAATAAAAATGAAGCAAACGAAATGATATACATTATATTTTTAAGATTAAAAAATATCAAATAACAACTGAGATAGCAGCAAGATATTGTTTTAATCGTTAGAGTAATTATCAACTTTATATTGATTTATCAAAAGGTAAAGTACAATGGAATGCAATTGAAAATATTTCATTTAAAAATAAACAATTAGTTAGATAATATTTATCGCAATTAGCAAAGAAGAAGAAAAAAAAAAGATATAAATTAATGACATCATAATGATTCACAACAGATTATGAAGATAAGGAAAATATTTTGAATCAAAAATCTAAATAGATACAGTTTTTGTAGAAAAAGATGAAGAAAAAAAAAACTATTCATTTTTCTACAATAATTCTCAAAATGAGAATTAAATTCATTGATATTTTACAATCTTAATGTAGTTCTTTACCTGCATGCATCATTTATTCTATGTAAAACAAGAAGACTACATCGTTTAGCATTGATTACATTTCTCAAGATCTCAAACATTACACAACAGTTGTTCGATGTAGTTACTTTTTTTTTCTCTCTCTAATAAAATGCGTATAAACCATTTTTATTTTTTTTCGATATGTTCTCATTTCATTCACACCACATTAGTAAGATGCAATCAAAAAAAAAAAAAAAATGAAAAGTAGTAACAAATTCTGTCACCAAATTGTCTAGTTATTACTCACGCTAGATATTTCTGATTATGTTAGAAGAAACACTTTTTCCAACGTGATTGTTCTAAAAAGTAACAGAACAGTGCCTTTTTAAACGATGTCAAAACAGTAATTTTAGCTGATACATTTTACAGATTCATACCTCATTACAGATATTAAAAATAAAAAATAAAAGTTTTTTTCAACAATATTACACAAGTCTGTATCCTCAAATATATAAACATAGGGAATGAGAAAGTTCACGTTACATTGATTTAACGTTAACTGAAAATTAGTTACCGTTAAAATAACTAGAACGATTTTTTCAGTAAAAATTATCGATAACGATTGATGAAGTAACCAACACTTTTTTCAATCCTATGCATAAAAATATCAATCGATGATTAATGTGATTTTGAGGTCTAAATCTAATCAGTTACTAAAAGATCATGTTAAGTTGACGATATTTAAATGTTTTTTCTTCACTTGTTTCTATTTATACAAAAAAAAAAGATATTACCATTTCTAATGTCTATTATTGTTTGTTGGTATCAACTATTTGTATCAATTTCACTCTTATTAATTTTTTAGACGGTGGCATCGTGCACACACACGTTTAGAACTTTCTAATTAAAAATCGATCAAGAGAAAATCACATAAAAAAGTGTTTATAAATAGAAAGTTTAATCCATATCTGTTTCCTTATCAAAATATTTGACAAAAATGACGAAATATTTGGCATATTTTTATAGTTAATCACGCTATTTCTTTCTGATTCAAAAATATAGTTCATTGATTTTTCTACTTACGACTAGATCAAAAATTAATGTATTTTCTTTTTACTCTTTTTTTTTTTTATACATGATGAAAATAGTAAACGTTAACCTAGACGCTTTTTTCTGTTTCTTTTTTATTCTTCTAGATTATCTGTACATATATTGTATAGTGAATAGATGTGTGTATGTGTTTTATGGTTATTGCACCGTGTATATGTGTATGATCGTAAGAAAAAAGGTGATGTACAGTGCAGTATGGATGAACGCGAATAATATGAAAGTAGAATTCTGCGTGCGTATGTATGTGTGTTTAAATTAATATAAATGAAAAAAATATATATAAAGGGAGAAACAACAAGAGTAGATCAATGTGATAAAAAAATATAAAATGTTCAATTCTGTTATTCTGGTCCCAGTTTAGTATTTAGTACAAATGGCCATGAAAGAAGGACGAAAAGAAAAACGTTCGTTCATAGCTACGGTCAAAAACGGTCAAGCTGCTTTTTTTTTTCTCTCTCTCTCTCTCTCTTTCCTTGATCTTTTAACCTCACATCAAGACATGTATTCTGTCCATGTGTCAAACAATATATTCTAATAGAAGAAAAACACATACATACAAAAGTCGTTTATTTATTAGTTAATAAATAAGTTTTGTAACCTAATTTTGTTCGAAAAGACTACTACTGTAACAGTTTAAAGACCAAACTAAACTTTTGGCTTTCAACAAACCATTACTAACGTAACTTTACAATGGACTTCTTAAGCAGATCGTGGTAATATAGTGCAGGGATAGTGACTTATTCATCAGCATTCAACAAGCTATGAGTTTAGAAAACTATTACCTCAGATTAATGCATAATTTTAAATAATGATAAATCTTTTAAAAGCTTCTTTTTTTTTTCTCCCTATATATTACATTAAATCTTTTTAACACACAAACGATGACTAACGAATATTACTCATTCATGAAGAATTTTACATATTTTGTAGACAGTATGAATTATATTACGATATTCTATCAACGTTCGTTCTGGCAGTCATTTCTTTGAAGTAGTACTTGATCCTACATATCTTGCAAAGAAAGAATAGTTTTAATAGAGAACTTCATAACATTATTAAAACTGAATATATAATTATATAAATAATCCTACGTAAAGAGACAACTTTTTTAGAATAAATATCAGATGTATAAAGTTACTTAAAAATACAAGCATTGTTTCCGCAAGATTTATTCTTATATATTCAAGTTGATAACGAGTAAATGAAGTTATCTTATCCGTATCTACCTATTGATTTCTAACAGGTTATTTTTCATCTATATTTAGGAAACTGTCAAAATTTTTAGATCTATCCAAGTAATAAATTACTATAAACATTCAGAATGTACGCATTGTTTTCTATAAGGTAATATTGAAACATCCAAAGTTCATATTTTTAACATGT